GACTTTTCTAAAGGCCATGGTCTCCAACCAGTGGTTCAAAACTAAATCACACCAGAGAAGCTTTGTAGGCTGCAGCGGTAACATGCCCAAAAGAAGAGCTGCATTGTAAGCCATTAAATTTCAATACGACAACCAGCAAGACTAAGGAGATGGACCTTTTACTCCTTTCGGTGCCGATCCAAGGCAACCATCAGGGCTTACCACTTCCTCACCAAAAACAGACACTTCCCACACAGATTTCTACCTGATGTTTTCCAATAGCTTTATTCATAATAGTCAAACGTGAATATTACCTGAAGGAACATCGACTAGCAAACGGATAAACAAATGTGGAACAGCCTCAAGGTGGTGCACTACCCAGCAATACGAAGCAGCAAATCACTGATACGCACAGCACAGATGAACCATGAAACTACGCTGAGTAAGCAAAGCCAGATACAAAAGATATCACGAACTTTGGGAGGCTGAGGTGGGCGGATCACTTGAGGTCAGGAGTTTGCAACCAGCCTGGTCAACGCGGTGAAACCCCATCTCCATTAAAAATACAAAAATTAGCCAGGTATGGTGATGTGTGCCTGTAATCCCAGCTACTCAGGAGGCTGAGGCAGGAGAATCGCTAGAACCTGGAAGGCAGAGGTTGCAGTGAGCCGAGATCACACCACTGCACTCTGGCCTGGGTGACAGAACAAGACTCCATCTCAAAAAAACAAAAGACATCACTAAATAACATCATTTATATGAAACTTTAGGGAAGTCCAACCTAGGCAGCAGTGACAGAAGCAGATCAGTCCCCAGGGGTAGGTGCTGATAGGACAGAGGTGCAAAGAAGTCTTTACAGGTGATGAAATATTCTAGATCTCCACTGCCACTGTGGTTACACAGGCATACAGAATACATTTGACTGTATACTTACAGCATGTGCGTTTTATTGGTGGTAAACCACAAAAAGTTAATCCTTTAAAAACAAAAATAAACCCGACATTTTCTATTACACTGGGCTCATTCTATTTCAGGATATGTTTACAAGTATAACATCGGTTGCTTCTGAGAGGAAACTGCGTAGACAGGGACAGGCGTGGAAAGAGGATTTCAAAATGTTTACCCTTTTGTACATTTAAACATCTGAACTATAAGCCTAGGTTAGTTAATTTTGAAATAAATAAAATTTTAAATGAAGGAAAAACTCTAGAAACATGTTCTTCATTGGTGACATGAGTAAGACAACATCTGAGGCCCCTCATCACTACAGAACTATTGGACTGTTGCCCGATCTGTTTCAGTTGTGGAAACCCCGCTTTTTGAGACAGGCACTCTATGTGGCCTGTATTTTACCCGACTCCTCTGAGTTCTCAGTGAATATCATTTTTTGGTATTTTTCATAAAATATACCATAGATAAGAATGCGTATGTGTGTGTGTGCCTGCATGTAACTGATTCAAGAATGTCTTTCATTTTCTTTGTAGTTTTTTAATTTCCTATGTGCGGATCCCTAATCAACCTGTTCTGCTTCTGCACCATTTAAAACTTCTTAATTGAATCATTCAGCATATGTTATTTTGTGCATCTTTTACCCAAAATTACATTTGTAAAATTCATCCATGTTGTTGCCAAAGCTGTATTTTCATCATTCTATGGTATCACAATTCATAATAAATAAATGGACCACAATGTACTTATCCATTAAAACATTTGTGGACACTGCTATGAGGTATTTTTTTGGTCCCTGTTGCCTACAGAAAGAAACAAAGTCAAACACACAACATAGCAACGGAGGCAACAACTGCCCCCACAAACCACCTAGCCGACCTTATCTCCCACTACCTTTTCTACCAACCCAGGCTGCTGCTGCATCTGTGTACTGCGTTGTGGGTGAAACATCAGGTACACCTTCAAGACGCTGCTGTGTTCATTTTATTCCTCAGGGTTGGGATGCTGTGGATCATGATCCAGATTAGCTCTCTCAAATCATTCCCATCCACTGAGGTCTGGTTCAGTCATGATCTCCTTAATGAAGAACCCCGCAATCTCTTCCATCCACAATACCACTGTTCCCCAAAACCATGTCAAAATGAATTCTCCTTTCCTGAACTTTCCACCACACCTAATTCATGCAACTTTGAGATATACTCATTAGCTATGGCTATGTCACAATTCTTGCCCAAAATCTTACAGAAAATGGGCAAATGTTGAAGCTTTCGAGTCAAATTCAAAATCCTAAAACCCACTGCTAACGCCAGGTGCTAAATCATCCAAAAATATAGGCTTAGAAGTTTATTTCCACAAAAATGAAATGAAATCAATTAAAGTGAACACAACATTCCATTGCTTAAGACAGATTTGGTTGGCTTCCCCATAGTTTTAAAATTGAGTTTTTTGTTGTTTTTCTCATAGAAAATACAGTGCTTTAGAGTTCCTAAGACACATAATTTAAGATCATAAGAGAATCACATAATTTAAGATCATTTGAGAAGAAATACCTCATTTAAAGAAAATGCAATGTCCTTAAAACTATTTTAATCCCAGAGCAACAAATAAAAGGGGAAAAAAACTAAATTTTAATGACATTAATAAATGGGTCATAAATTCAATGGACTATAATGGAAAAGCAACAAGTATTTCTGAATTTAAAGAACAGGACAGTCATTTTTGTCAAAGAAAATATATGCATGGAATGCAGATGCCTCAAACAGGAGATGAAATAAAACAGATAAGGAGAAGGCTCTATCTAGGTTGAATGCCTGGCCAATGTGTCCTCTCCAACAGTCATAAATAAAATAGATGGAAGACAACACCCCTGAATAATACCAAATATGCCTTCCAATTATTTTATGCAAAAACATGATTTTCAATAGGTGTCATTAAAGAAAACATCATAGAAAAAAATGTTCAATTCATGTTACATAAATTAGGCTAAAATCTTTACTATAAAAATGGCTCCTATAAATAATAAAGAACAATGGCCTACTTGAATAAATAGACAAATGTTATTTGTAAACGATGCAGATAAAAGGTAACTGCATCTTAAACATCAGATGAAATGCTCAATCACAGAGAATTGCAAAATAAAATCATTTGGGGATAGTCGTTTTCACCCATCAGATTTGCAGGATCAAAAAGTTCATAAAAATATTCTTGGCAAGGGTATACCAAAGCAGGCAGGCAGTCACACACATTGCTGATGGAAGTATAAATTGTTAGAACCCTAAGGAAGTGCAATATGGTGATATCCACCAAATTACAAGTGCACACGCCCTCTGACCCAGCAATTCCACTTCTGGGAAGTTATCCAGAATACTTGCATGTATGCAAAATGATGCATGTACAGGGTCGTTAGCTGTAACACTGAAACAGCGAAAGCTTGGAAACATCAGTGTCTCAGTAGGAGACAGGTTAAGTAACTTGAGACATCCTTACAATAGAATTCTGAAGCAGCTGAAAAAGAACAAGGAAGCAATCACCAAGAAATACCAAGAAAAGGAAGAGCTCGTATGGTATTCCGCAATTTGCATAGAATACGGTATATTTGCTGAAACATGCACTATCTGGAAAGAGACACAGGAAACTAGCAACAGTAAGAAAAGGCCTAGCACAGATCTGCAGGACAATGATCGCCTTGCTCAAGTTAACCTAGAAAATGACAGGCTGTGTATTTTGCGCAATTTATTTATTTCTCAACTTTAAGGTTAAGAAATCTCTGCCCTGTAACAAGGCACCTGTTAAGGGAGCTCTGCTTATTCTGCCCTGTGTGGGTCATGTTTGTTATGAGGACACTTAGCAAACAAAGAAGGCTTTTCTCCACCCTTAGTAGCGTGGTAACGGATAACAGGACAGCACTCTTAACGAAGGAGCCACTCTCCTGGCCTCCCTGGTGAAGAGAGCTTTTTGGAGATAGGAACCTGTTGCTCAGAGGCTGAGCATCCCCGTCTGTTCTCCCTGTACTTCGCCTAAAAATATGCCTGCGTTCCACACTGTGCACACCCAGGGGTGGGTGCTGGGCGTACTCCACCTGCTTGTTTGCCTCCCGTCTTCTCATCGGGGAGTAAACACAGTAAACCTAACCCTTCAGGGGAAGGAGAAACAAATCATTCAGGGCCCATATCAGGTGACTGATGAGCGCGGCACCGTTTTGAACGTGTGCCTAATCCGGTCCAGATATGCCTGCTGGGGCCGCCAGAACCAAGGCACGCTCAAGCACGTTTGTTTCGGCAAGCTTGGGTGAAGAGGTCAAGACCTGAGAGTTTTAGGAAGCGGGGGCGAAGTTTTCAAGCACGATGGGAACACCTGCAGGTGCAGGTGCCCGCGGGCCGGCCGACCACCTGGCTCTGAGGCTGGATCTGCACACGGAGGACGACAACTACGCACAGGGACGTGCGTCCGGAGGAAAGTTGCAGCGAGTGTCTGTCTACCTGTTCGAGACAGGTGGCCGAGAAAGTGCGGCAGCGCTGACAAGTGTTTTGTCCCGTGGGCTTCCGCTGCACTGGGTCCCCGGGGCCCCGGGCGCCCCAAGGTCACCTGCCCTCCTGAGCGCCCCCACCCTGCCCAAGCTCTCACCAGAACAGCAGGTTGGCAGCGACGAAGCTGAGCAGGCTCCGCAGCGGCCTCTTCCAGCTCAACAGCTCGTCCGCGCGGCAGCCCAGCCACAGCACTGGCTCCCCGAGCAGCCAAGTCACCGCGGCAGCCGCCCGGCCCGCGGCCTCCTCCACCTGCAGCCCCGCGCCCTCCGTCGCCCCAGCCTCCTGCGCTTCCTCCTCCTGCGGCGGCCGCTCTGCTGGGGGCGCCCGGGGTGGCGGCGGCGCCTCCTCTTCCGCGGCGGGAGCCGGGCATCCCTCCTCGGCGTGCTCCGGGGGCGCCGGGCTCGCCATCTTCGGCGGCGCTTCCAGGCGGGGACCGTGCAGGGCGCGCGCGGGGGCGCGCCTGGGTGTGGGCGCCGAGGGCGGGGCGGCGGCCGCAGGTCCCGGAGCCGGGCGCGCACCGCGGGGCGCAGGCGGCCGGGTGCCTTGTGACGTCACAGGCCGCGGAGGGGGGCGCCGCCGGGGGAAGTGGGTGCGGCCGAGTTCGCGCTGGGGCGGGGCCCGAAGCTGGGCGGTGTCCACTGGGGGCTCTGGGCTCCTCCAGGGCCTCGTCGGGGACCCGAGGAAAACGACCTTCTTTTCTCTTGCAGCGGCGGGGAGGGCGGACTGGAGGACCGCGGCTTGGTGCCGGATCCGAAAGGAAGCCAAGGCTAAGGGCAAAATAGATTGGACATTTTCACTTTCTCAAGCCAGGGTCACCGGTCGCCCAACCAGCAGCCACTGAGGGTGGTATGGGGCGCCCCTTCCTCTGGCAGCGGATTTCAGCCCCCGGGGCATCTCCCACCCCGGCCATCCCCAGCACCTTTGCAAGGACAGCAGCACAGCCATAGCAGAGGTCTTGGGCACCCTAGGAATAACGTGCTGGTATAAATGTTGGATTGAGAAAGGAAGAGAAAACATCTGGGGTCAATTTGGGGCCCTCTGGTTTGACACGGGAGGAAACGCCAAGCAGCAGCGGTGGGGGAAGGTGCTTCCTCTCTCTCTTCTCTGTCTCTCGCTGTTTCTCTCTTTCCGCCACTCCCCCTCTTTCTCTCCCCCTCTCCCCTCCCTCTGTGTGGCCAGGTGATCTGACTCAGAAGTGCACGTTGGTCGTGCTTTCGGGGAGCTGGCAAGCAAGAGACTGAACCTTTGCACACGTCAAGCAAGGTCTGGCCTGCTTTGAAGCCAGTGATTTTAGAGCTACTTGGCCTCCGCGTCACGGGCAGACATCAGGGCAGTCAGTGGTGGGGTGGCAGGGCATCCATCCTGAGACCTCCCATGCCCCATCTTTTTGGCCCCAGTGCTTCTGCGTGAGTGCAGAGAGAGAGAGGAACACAGTTCATTGGTTATGCTTACTTTTCACTATTTGCATTTTTAAATTTTTGTCTTCTTTAATCTTCCTGGTCTTGCTTTTACTCTATGACATGCCCTTCATCCAAAGGATTCTATCTGTAGATGAATCAGGGCATCTCAGATCCCTTTATTGGCAACCAGCCTTCCTGCACAGGATGGAAGGGAGGGCAATGAAATTCCCTTGTGTCAAGGGAGGCTCTGGGGAAAAGTTCTGTAATGCCTCTGGATGGCCATTGTAAACCTCTGTGTAGACACATGTGGAATCCATTGATCGGTACATTCACTGCAGGTGTCTGCACTTTACTGTGTGTATGTTGTACTTCAAAGGGGGTATATTCCCAGAGTCCACGCAAAGGCTTACTAAACACCTACCGAGTACACAAAGCATCGCTAAGCTCTGTGGATACAGCTTCCACCCACAGGAAGCTTACAGTCTGATGAGGGGCCAATTAAGAGCATCTGGCATTTCCAATTTCCCTTCTTAGGACAACCCGATGGAAAGTGGCCTGGGTGGCAAGGAAAAAACAACATGTAAACAACTCAGGTTTCATCCATATAAGACAGACGATCTTGGCCGGGAGCGGTGGCTCACACCTGTAATCCTAGCACTTTGGAGACCGAGGCAGGCAGATCACAAGGTCAGGAGTTCAAGACCAGCCTGGTCAATGTGGAGAAACCCTGTCTTTACTAAAAATACAAAAATTAGCCAGGCATGGTGGTAGGTACCTGTAGTCCCAGCTACTCAAGAGGCTGAGGCAGGAGAATCGCTTGAACCCAGAGGGAGAGGTTGCAGTTATCACGCCATTGCACTCCAGCCTGGGCAACAGAGCAAGACTCAAACTCAAAAAAAAAATTTTTTTTCCAGGTGCGTATCCTCCCTCTTGGCACTAGTAGAAAAGTTTTTGAAAGATAAATGCTTTTATTGTGTCCTTTGGCCTTTGTTTGGCACTTGATACAGCCCCAGGTTTGCTATTCTAAAATCTGTTGCTAGACGGATGTGTGCCAAAGCCAGTGTGGAGAACATGGGGCAGGCGAGAGGAAGAACCAGGCGTCCCCATTGCCCAGAGCAGTGTTGATGAGCTACCAGAAACAGGTCTGCAAGATTCATCACCTTCCTCCTGCTTCCCCTGAATTCTAATTATTGTTGTCAGGAACTGCTGAAGTAGTAAAAACTGCTGGCAACCAAGACACATAAAAGCTAAGCTCCAGTTGCTGTGTGTGATTTCCAACACATATTTATTATCTCTGTTTAATAATAAACCTCTTTACACACAGCCATGTGTTGTAAAGAAGATTCTCCCTCTCTCTTTGTCTCCCTCTCAAAATTACTAGGGAGGAAATGCTACGCAAACTGATTTGCATAAAAGGCTGGGCTAATCTGTCCTTTTCACCTCCGACCTGTAACACTTACTGACGACTTGTGTGACAAAAGCGGACACTGGCATAGACATGCAAATGGTGCTGCTGGGTGGGTTTTTGTTGCTGTTGCCTGTTCGTTGTTTGTCTAATTATCTTTGTGATGCTTGAGTACTTTATTCAGGGCTAAGATGACGGAAGCATAATGCTAACAGTGGTTGAAATCAATCTTGTCCCCTAGTTTTAAGAACATGCCATATTCTTGAACTCCTGCAGGTAAGCTTACTGTGTAAGATTCTCTCCTGAATTTTATATTGCTATATATTAGGAACAGAATGATTAACAGCAATGAGCTAGATGATTTGACAATCTGTATCTGAGAAAAACAAGGAAACTAGAAATTCATCTGAGAATTAAAAAAAAAAAAAAAACAAGGCCGGGAGCGGTGGCTCAAGCCTGTAATCCCAGCACTTTGGGAGGCCGAGGTGGGTGGATCACGAGGTCAAGAGATCGAGACCATCCTGGTCAACATGGTGAAACCCCGTCTCTACTAAAAATACAAAAAATTAGCTGGGCATGGTGGCGCGTGCCTGTAATCCCAGCTACTCAGGAGGCTGAGGCAGGAGAATTGCCTGAACCCAGGAGGCAGAGGTTGCGGTGAGCCGAGATCGCCCCATTGCACTCCAGCCTGGGTAACAAGAGTGAAACTCTGTCTCAAAAAAAAAAACCAGAACAGTCATAGCCACTGAATCTTAGTTTAGAAAATGAGACAGCTCCAGTAAAGAAAGTCCAGATACACATAAGAGCTCTAACAGAGGCCAACTCACTCATCTCTCATCTTAGAGTATGTGGAAAGCTTGTAATAGGAGAGAAAAACAATGAATAATTGATTCCCACTGGAGGAAGTCTCCTCAGGCAACATCAAGCTAAGACTTAGAATGATGGGGAAATGCCCCAGTCATAATATTTTGGGGAAATTTCTTTTCCCCAAAATATTATATATTAGAATCCTACAGTAGGTCCATGGTTGGTTAAACCAAAGGAGGCTCTTTGATATGGTTTGGCTGTGTCTCTACCCAGGTCTTACCCTGAATTGTAATCATCCCAGGTGTCAAGGGTGGGACCAGGTGGAGATAATTGAATCATGGGCATGGGGGTTTCTCCCATACTGTTCTCGTGATAGCAAGTTCTCACGAGATCTGATGGTTTTATAAGGGGCTTCTCCCCTCAGCACTCATCCTCGCTCCTGCCACTCTGCAAAGGTGTGTTTTCCACCATGATTGTAAGTTTCCTGGGACTTCCCTAGCCATGCAGAACTGTGAGTCAGTTAAACCTCTTTTCTTTATAAATTACCTATTCTCAAGTATTTCTTCATAGCAGCATGTCAATGAACTAATACACTTGTGTACGCATTGTATTGTTTACTAGACTGCAGATAGAAATTTTTGTGTGTTGATAATTTTATTAAAGCAATTCTACCCTCCTCTCCTTGCTATATCCTCTCTTCCTTATTTCTAAATTTCCATAATTTTCTTTTTTTGGTGGGGAGGGATGGAGCACAGTAACACAATCTCGGCTCACTGCAACCTCTACCTCCCAGGTTCCAGCAATTCTCCTGCCTCAACCTCCCGAGTAGCTGGGACTACAGGCACCCACCACTACACCTGGCTAATTTTTTTTTGTTGTTGTTGTTGTTTTTCTTTTTTTTAGTAGAGTCAGAGTTTCACCATATCGGCCAGGCTGGTCTTGAACTCCTGACCTTGTTATTTGCCCGCCTTGGCCTCCCAAGGTGCTGGGAGGCCAGACTGCGCCCAGACAAATTTCCATAATTTTCTTGTCACTAAGAAAGCCTGGACAGTTAACTCTAAGCACAGATAAGTAGGAGTATCGCTCAGCACCAGCAGCCACAGAGCAATTGGGAAGGAAGGAAGGTCATTTCCTGGGTCTTTAACCCAGCTTCCAAGGCCCAGCCCAGTGCCTGCTTCACAGAAGGAGTTCACTATTTCTGCTTACGTTGAATGTCTATTGTGCATATACAAACTGAAATATTCAAACTAGGATAGTCTGTGTTTAACAAGCATTTGGTAAGGGATGTGCTTACCAGAAAGGTGTGGGCCACCCACATAACAGCTAGGGTATTGCTCCCTAATACCTAAAAGAAGTAGTTTTGTTTTGTTTTGTTTTTTTTGCCAAGTGTCATGGCTCACACCTGTAAGTAATCCTCATACTTTGGGAGGCCAAGGCAGATGGATCACCTGAGGTCAGGAGTTTGAGACCAGCCTGGCCAACATGGTGAAACCCCACCTCTACTAAAAATACAAAAAAAAAAAAAAAATTAGCCGGGTGTGGTGGCAGGCACCTGTAATCCTAGCTACTCTGGAGGAGACTGAAGCAGGAAAATCACTTGAACCCAGGAGGCAGAGGTTACAAGTGAGCTGAGATGGCATCACTGCACTCCAGCCTGGGAGACGATAGGGAAACTGTCTCAAAAAAAAAAAAAAAAAGGTTTTTTTTTTTTTTTTTTAAGGCTTCAAAATGGTTAATTGAAAAGTACGGAGGTCACATGACAACATGAGTATATCCCCCAAGGAGGCCTACCTGTCTGTCCACAGGTACATGCATAAACACACGCACTCCTGTGATTCACAAGGGTGGCTGCAGGACACTAACTTCCAACTCCTTCCCAACAGGAATCCGAACCAGCAGACAAAGCACTGCTGTGTCCTTGTCTGCAGCCTCTTCCCCGCACTCCCTTTGATGGTCCTGGTTCTGCATTGTTGTACCTGTGTATTCATTCATTATTTCTTCATTTCTTCACTCACTGGTCATCAGACATTCATGAAAGGCTGATGGTGGGATTCTGGTGAGATGAACAGGACTGCTTATTTCTCTCATGATGCTTAGGCATAGACAATGGATAATGACCCTAAAGAAGGTGCTAGGCAAAGGGAATAGGGAAGCATGAGGTGCACGGTCTGGAAGCGGGAGAGGAGCCAGTGTGGCCTTCAGAGGAAACCTGGAGGAGATGTAAGCTGGAGGATGGGGTGGAAGGAGCAGGAGACCAGTCACATTGGGCCTCCTCCTTGTGATGCTAGAAGCTTCTGCTTTGTCCTGAGAGCAACAGGGAGCCATGGGTGGGCTTGCAGCAGGAGACAGAAGGAGCTAGCCTGTGTTTCAGAAAAATATCTCTGGATCATGGATGGCATAAAGCCTGACAGAGGGAAGGCACTAAGGGACTTTTCCCTTGTCATTCTCCAGGATGAGGGAGGAGGAGAAGCCAGTTTGAAAGGGAGACTGGCAGGTTTCATTTTTGGAAATGGATCTGCATTTGGATATCTCTGGAGATGTCAGTAAGGTTGTTGGGTACAGGGCTCTGCACCTCAGAGACCAGCAGGCATCCTGAATGAGACAGATCCTGGCAGACGGAATGGTCTGTAGGAGAACTTGGCAGACGGCATGACCAAGAAGCAGTCAGAGGCGCTGGCTAGGTCCGTGCAGCTGCATGGGGCATAGCACTTTTGATAAGACTTTTGGATAAACGGATCAAATCAAATAAACTTGTAAGTATCAGTAACAATTTTAGACAAAATCCTTTGAGTAGTAGAGAGTTCCTGGAGTTTGTGGGTTTCTTTGTTGTTATTCTTTCTTTTTACCAAGGAAGTGATTGAATCAAAGCAACAGTGTCCTGAGGTCCCAGGAACTCCAGCCTGACTTCCATCCTTGAAGCAAAACTGTGTTGTGATTCTCTCTAAATCCAGGTATCCAAATCAGGCCTCCAGTCTCAAGGGGATGTCTTCCATGCTAAAATTAGATTAGTGGAATGCAATGAAATAGCTATGAAGGTGACATCCCACAAACAACCCTTCCAAGGGTATATTTGGCTTGTCACCTGTTACTAATTTTAGTTCATTAGAAATCATGCACAAAATCTGGCAACCCTCGAGGCTGAGAAAATGGCTGCAGGCCCTGCAGTCAGACCATGTCACACATGCCCACTTCGGTTATACATGCTTGGTACAGTCAGGTGCTTGCTGCACAGCCAGTGGTATTCCTGGGGACCCATAAGTTGTGAAGCCCAAATGTCTTCTGAACCATCCAAGAAATATGGCTCTACTTATTATAGTTCACAGTTCAGTATATTTGCTTGCAGGTTAATTCACTGAAAAGGGATGTTCTCTCTACTTCTCCCTAAATAAAAATTAATTGGAGGATGGCCAGGTGCAGTGGCTCACACCTGTAATCCCAACACTTCAGGAGGTGGGCAGATCACTTGGTGAAACCCCATCTCTACAAAAAATATGTGCCTGTAGTTTCAGCTACTTGGGAGGCTGAGGTAAGAGGATCACTTGAGCCAGGGAGGTCAAGGCTGCAGTGAGCCATGATCATACCACAGCACTCCAGCCTGAGCAACAGAGCAAGACTCCTTCTCAAAAAAAAAAAAAAAAAAAAAAAAGTTATAGGAGGCCGTTTTGTTGTCGTCGTGAGTGCAGTAGTGAGAAGGACAAAAAGAGAAGGACAAGGAGTTTGATCTGTAACTGACTGCAAACAATTAATTGAGATAACACACTACCTTCAGACCAGCCAGGAGGCTACTGTTTGGACTAAGCTCCTACACTAGGCCCCAACAGACCAGACCAAAAATCAGAATGAAGTCACTCATGCTGAGGTTCCACATTGCCAAACCTGAGTTGTCAGCTGACCTCCAGAGCAGTCAAAAGAGAAACACAAATTTCCCAAACAGGCCAGTTTCAGTCTGCATTGTGATGGAGTTTCCTCTATTCTCTCCCTTCCAAGAGAAAGTGACCTGATATTAACCAATCAGTTATTTCTCTGCTGTTCTGTTCCCCATATCCACCTTGCAAGAAAGTATCTTTGAAATGACCAATCTGCTTTTTGGGTTTTGTCCCTGCTTTCTTCAGCCCTTCTCCATATGAAACCACCCTCTCTATTCAGCCCACTGGAACACTTACTCTATTTTATCAGATGAAGTTTGCTGGATTCTGGAATTACAAATAAAGTCAATTAAGATCTTAAAACTAAACCTGTAATAAGGTTTTCCATTGACAGTCTGAACTGTTTTTACTCCCAATACTTCTGGCACCGGGTATGTGGACTTTCCCACACCAATAACCAACTCTCTCATTGTCTACATACCAGCTGGGTATCAGTTCAATTCTGACATTAACTACCTGATCTAACCCAGCAGATCATGGGTTAAGGGCTCAGCCCCACAAGACTACCCCACTTCAAATGCCAATCACAAGTCCTGGACCTCCCACACTTCTGACTGACTGGCTATAAATCGGAGGTTTCCATGACTCCCCCTTCAAGTTTATATATATATATATATACATACATACACACACACACACACACACACACACAGAGGCAGAGGGTGTCTCACTCTGTCACCAAGGCAGGAATCATGGCTCACTGCAGCCACCACCTCCCAGGCTCAAGTGATCCTCCCATCTCAGCCTCCAGAGAGTAGCTGGGATCATACCCAGCTGGAACACAGAGTAGCTGTGCTCCACCACACCTGGCTAAACTTTTCTTTCTTCTAGAGACAGTGCCTCCCTATGTTGTCCAGGCTGGTCATGAATTTCTGGGCTCCAGCAATCCTCCCCCTCAGCCTACCAAAGTGCTGAGGTTATAGGCATGAGCTACCGCTCTTGGTTCAATTCAAGTTTCATACTTTGCTAGAACAACTCACAGAACTCAGGGAAAACAGTTTACTTACTGTTGCTAGTTTATTACAAAGGAAATGATAAAGAATATGAATGCGCATGCAGATGAAGAGGTACGTAGGGCAAGGTCCAGAAGGGTCCTGAACGTGGGCGCGCCAGCCCCACTGGGGAGTTGGAGCATGCCAGCCTCTGGGCACGTGGATGCATTTGTTCACTCTCCCACAGGCTCCTTACATCTCTTCATTTAGGGGTTTTTATGGAGGTTTCATTATATAGGCGCAGTTGACTAAATCTTTGGCTGTGGGTGACTTTTAAAACCTCGGGCCCCTCTCTTTTCCCCAGGAGGCCTGGGGATGGGACTGAATGTTCCACCCTATAATCACATGGTCAGTTCCTCTGGCCAGCAGCCCCCATCATGAAACATCTAGGGACCAAGGAAGAATCATCTCGTGAGTGTAAACTCAAGTATGGTTGAAAGGGACTTATTAAGAATAATAAACTATGCTCTTCTCATAATAAACTCTTCCAAGGGTTTTCAAAGCTCTGTGCTAGAAGCCAGGGAGGATGACCAAATACATTCTATTATATCACAATATCACACTTCCCTATTTTTACCCTCACTTCTGCCCCTTCCCTGCCCTAAAGGAAGTACTTTTGTGTCACAACTGAACTATCCCAAAAAAGGCCCATGGGAGCTCACTCTGGGTTGCCTGGACAAGGTCCTGGAAGGGACTGAAGGCCTTTCTTCTTTCTCCAGGGAGAAGAGATACACTTAAACCCAGGGTCCTACAGGCTTGAT